TGAGACATGCAACTAAATGGAAAATTTGTGACCAAGGTCACGAAAAAAAAATCTATCAATTGAAACTGATGCACAGATTACCCAGATTTCAGAATTACCAAAGATTTCAAACAATTAAAATAGTTATTAATAACAATGATATTATCAATTACAATTGATAAATATGTCAACAATGGATATAGTGAGTGAAGATATGGGAAATTTCAAGACAGAGATGAAAATTGTTTTTTTTTTTTTAAGGAAAACTTTAAAACTGAAAAACACAACATCTTGCACTTACTTTTTAAAATCATAACAAAAAATTAATATCAAATTAGATACTGCAGGAGGAAAGATAAACAACCTCAGAGACAATTCAACAGAAACCACACAAATAGAAGAAACATGATGGTTAGTTTTATTTGTCAGAGTGACTGAGCCAGAGTGCCCAGATATTGGTCAAACACCATTCCAGGCGTGTCTGTGAGGGTATGCTTGCTGAGGATGGGATTTACATTGAAGTTGACAGAGTAAAGCAGATTGCCCTCCCTAAACTGGTGGACCTCATCTAATCAGCTCAGAGTCTTAACAGAACAAAAAAGCAGAGACGCTCCCCTGAGTAAGAGAGAAATCTTCCTGCCTGACTGCCTTTGAACTAGAACACTAACTTTTTCCTGCCTCAGCCTTGAACTGAAACATTAGCTCTTCCTGGTCCTGAGCATGCCAGCCTTCACACTGAAGCTACACAGGCCAGGTGACCTCCTGGTTCTCAGGCCTTTGAACTTAGACTGAAATTACCCCATTCACTCCCCTGGTCTCTAGCATGGTGTCTGATCCTGCAGATCTTGGGACCTGTTGATTTCTACGACTGCATGAGCCAATTCTTTATAATATCTCATATATAGATAAATACTGGTTCTGTTTCTATGGGAATCTTGATTATCACAGAAAGCAGAGAACAAACACTGGGGGAGAAAAATCAGAGCTTGAATACCACATGAAAGTGTCAAAGTTTACTAGAGGTGAAATGGAAGTCCGGGAAACAGATGAGCGACAGCAAGAATATGAGGGAGAGCAACTGTTTAAAAACCGGATCCACAACAAAACCAGCACAAAGAAAAACAAATCTGGCAAAAACAAATATAAAGAGCAATTCTTAAAAGCAGCCAAAGAACAAGACACATTATACACAGGAAAGCAGTAACAATCATGTTCGACTTCCGAACAGGAACAATGGAATCCAGAAGAGAATGGAATAACATCGTTAAGTGTCCAAAAGATACAATGGAATATCATTCAGCTATAAGAAGGAAATCCTGATACATGCTACAATATAGATGAACCTTGGAAACATACTAAGGAAATAATCTAGACACAACAGGACAAATATTATGGGATTCCATTAGAAAAGGGACCTAGAATAGGCAAATTCATAGACAAAGAAAGTAGAAGAGAGGTTACCAGGGGCAGGAAAGAGGGGGAATGGGTAATCACCGTTTACTAGATACAGAGTTTCTGGCTGAGTTAAGGAGACAACAGAAATGGACAGTGGTGACAGTTAATCAGCACTGTGAATGTACTTAGTACCACTGAATCATACACCTAAAAACTGTTAAAATAGCAAATTTTACATTATGAATATTTTACCACAATTTTTTGAAAGTGCTAAAAGAAAAAAACCTGCCAACCTAGAAGTCTATATCCAAAAAAAATGTCTTTTCAAAGCAAAAGCAAACTAAGGATTTTTTTTTTTTTTTCAGATAATGAAAACTGAGAAAATTTTCCACTACCACATCTACCACATTACCAGAAAAGCTTTAGCATTCCAGGCTGAAGGAAATGATGCCAGAAAGAAATTCAAATCTACATACAGGAATGAAATAAGTAATTATATGTGAAAATGTGTAAGAAATTTAGGATAAACCTTAGAAAGACATTCTCAAAGTTGAAGGAGAACAAAAACCTACAAATTATGCCCCCTAAAGGTAATCAAGTATAAAGCATTATCATTAACCAGTACCAAAATACCATTTTATTTCTAGTGAGGATTAAACAAATGGCTGATTACCGGATGGTATTTAAAATTTCTTTAATCTAAATAATAGGTATAGCTTCTCCTTTTAAATGTGTAAGTCAAAACCATTCTTTTTTGCCAAAACAAAAAAATAAATATACTGCTTAACTTTCAAACACCTTATTTATTCAGAGATTTCTTGTTGATTGGGTATATGTCATAAAAAAAAAAAAAACTATGGCACCTTATATTTTTCTTATTCCAAGTATAAAATACTAATATATAGTCAAAAATAATTTTGCCATCTTGCAAAAATCTAGTACCATTTTATAACATGTTTTTATATAAATGTTCTGAAGTAAAATTGGCAGACTGAATGCATGAATTCATCCCCATGCCCTACTAAAAATTTACCAGAAAGAAATTTAAGTGGGGAGAAAGACTGGCAGACACCAGGGGTAAGTATAAGAGTGGTATCAGCACAGTTTTAGAAAATAGAAAGCTAGTAACTAACTGAGCAGAGGAAGATGAACTCCAATGCCCACTAGCCAGGACATCACAAAGCAAACAAATCTCGGCCAAACTAAACTAATTTCTGCCAAAGAAACATCAAGAGAACTTGAAATAGAGGCACCTGGTGTGTCTGAAAGCCAGGTCAGGACTGAAAACAGGAGAACAGGGAGACGGAGATGCCCAGATCCGTTCCCTGTGTTGCAGAAAACATGGAGTTAACTCCTGGAGAGAATGAACCAGATGGGCCCTAATTTAGCGGACATGGAGCACAGCTGGGAGCAGGCAGGGACTCTACCTGAAAAAACAGACTTGGACGTAAAAGCCTGAGGAAGGCAAAGGAACACCTCCAGCCCTTCCCATGTTCTATACCCAAATACCAGCTACCGCCCTGCCAGAGGTGGGAAGACATCTCTTCCTAACCCAAGGGAAGAAATGCAGAGAGAAATGACCAGGCCTCCTCTCTTGAGGTCAAACAGACCTGCCCCTCACACAAAGCTGCCAACAGGCCTGTAGGTGCCTCACTCGGGAATATGGAACTGCAGAGGGTCACTAGATAGTTGAGGAAATCAGCAAACATGTATTAGTGTCTGAAACACACAAAGTAACACAGAGGAAGCAGAAATAGCAGATAAGAGCAAGCTTCAAACCATAATATCCCAAGAGAGAGAGCAAAAATGCTGAGTTCATGAAACAAGAAAAAGGATATCATGTTTTAAAAGTATTAATCACAGATCCATGGATCAGAACCCACCAGGATGCTCTGTAAAGCCACGGGATTTCCCAGGCAAGAGTACTGGAGTGGGTATCTATGCTGTCCCCCAAGGGATCTTCCCAACTCAAGGATCAAACCCACATCTCCTGCAAAAAAAAAAACCCACACATGACTTCAGGAAGCAGCCACTTTGATACTGGAGAGAGGAAAAGCCAGATCCAGAGTGATGGGGCAGTGAAGAGCAGACGACAGCAGCATGGCAGGCCCAGGGGCGCCCAGGCAGACCCAGGTCGCCAAGGGGCCTGTGTCCAGGGAAGAACAAATCACAACTGGCAGGGCAGCCCTGGCCCAAGTTCCACTGGGGAGAGCTTAAGGCGGAACTAGTGATCGGGAGTGTGAGAATACAGAGGCCTCATCCTCCCTGCCCGCCCTGCACACACTTCTCCCGCCAGCCTCTCGCTAGTCCGACTTTCAGTGACATTAAACTCAGTTTGTGAATATGTTACTAACAGCTGGTCCTTGCTAGACACTTGCTGTGACACATAATTATATCTTTTTTCTACAGCTTGGTTTCCTTGGAGCCAATGAGTCCTCATTTTTTTATTTGATTATTTAAATTATACTCATAGATTACTTAATAAAATCTCTTTTTAAAAATTTTAAGTTGTGTATGTTTTTAAACAATTTCTTTGTTTTATGAATAAATATGCAGCCATGACTTCTTTCTCAAGACAGACATATGAAACACACAAATATAGATATTTATATACATTTTTTTACTTTTTAAAGTCATTATTAATCATTATGTCTTTATAACAATTTCTAGTTAGTTTATAACATTTCATTATAAGAATATGTAATGGTTTATTTCCTTACATTCTTCTGGGTTGGATATAAGAGTTTTTCAAAATTTTTTATAATTTTTTTATGTTTTTCTTTCTCTTTTTCTTAACTGAAGTATAGTTGATGTACAATATTATATAAGTAGCAGATATACAGTATAGTGATTCACAATTTTTAAAGCTTATACCCCATTTATAATTATTAGCTACATCCCCTGTGTTGTACAACATATCCTTATAGTTTATTTTATACATAATAGAATTTCTTTTACATTTCTAATAAATGCTCACTGAGCACCCTTCATTTGTCTATATCTCTAATGACAAGTTCAGAGAAGCAGAATGGGTTTAAGGCTTTTGATTTATATTACTCAGCACCATCCTCCAAAATTTCTGCCAATCTACAGTTGTACCTACAATGTACTGTGTTCATTTGACCACACACTTACCTTCACCAAGTAAGAGGGATTTAACAAGTAAGATTTAACATGTATGCATCTTAATTTAAATGTCCCTATTAGTTATGTTGTATTATCTATTTATGATTTTTGACCTTTTTTCTATTTTTTTTGTTTTTCCTTCTCCTACGCTTGGTACTGAGATAGGCCTTCTTCAGCTCACGGATTGGTAAATGTTGACCTATGTTTTCTCTCTCTTTAAGTGGGTGGTATTATGGTTTTACTGTCAGTAACTATTTTAAGTAGCCTACAAGGGATCCTTTAACAATACTTCTATAAAAGCATGAGAAAGCAGGGGTGGGGGGACCTCAGGAATATAAAGTTGACTGAAAATCAGCTAACTTTCTATGTATCTTTTAACTAAAATATTTCAACATACAAGATTTCTTCCTTAAATACATGGTGCTACATGGATCAAAAGCAATGTAACACTTTCAGGTATAGATGCTAATACAGCTTAATTTTGAAAAGATTTTACTCACTTGTGGTCATGATGCTGGGAGGGCAAGAGGGTATTCCATGATCTACTGCCCATCTGTAGGCTCCTTCTCCAACTAAAAAGCTAACAACAGAAAGATTATTCTTTTAAAAATCCAGTGTCATCCTCTCCTACATGTATACAGATAATAAATATATATATTTATTTATATACATATATAATAAAGTAATATAAGCAATATAATAAGGCAACTAAAAATTTTGCAATACTTCAAAATGGCTATATACCAAAAGGCTTCATTTAATTTTTCCCCAAGTTAGAAATTTTACAACTGTAAACAGTAAATGGTATGATATCATTTGCAATAACTAATAAGTAAAAATTGGCAAAATGCAACATCATAAGTACAAATAGTTGATTTCCCAGTGGAAAATATAAAGATTTATCTTGGATCAAAGTGGTTCTCAGTTTATGTACAAGAACTATTTTAATCATGTTAAGAGTTAAAGCTTAAGCAAATGTCTTCAGATTTGGTATTCTTGCCTAGCATAACAGCTGGATCTATCCAAAATGAGTGGGGTACATCCAGAGATGCCCAAACACAATGATATGCACTTACATTTCTAAGCCTCGATGCAATATATATATATATATGTATATATATATATACATACACACACACAAACACACATATATGACTCAGAATCATTTTCACTGAGGTAAGGTAATGTGGTGTGTCCCAGAAGTAATTTTTTTAAGCCCCAATGGCAGGTTTTAACATAACAGTAACTGAATAAAAGGATACTGTTAGCTAACTGTAAAAGACTTTCTTTCAAAGATTTCAAATAGCATGCAGGATAATTAACCACTCCATTCCCTAACACAGTAATAGCAAGCAGTTACCACAATAATCAATCACTTCATCTCCTTCCACAGCCAACTTCTTAAAGATCTCAGCCAGCCAGTAATGGATTCCTTGAACTAGAGCCTACTCATTAGTTTCCTGCTCCCTATTTTTTGTTTTTGTTCCTCTAATCATCCAACAATAAAAACTCAAAGTAATACATATTGAAGTCTTTAGATTTGATTGTTAATAAGATCAATGACAGATTAGAAGAAAGTCAAAGTAGATATTTAGAAATATATTCAAACAGTTCCAAAGAGAAACTAGATGGTTAGGCTCAATAACTTTTCCAATATACACAGAGCTGGGAAATGAGGGAGCTTTAAAAAAAAAAAAAAAAGAGGAGGGAGAGAGCCCACAAGAACAAACAACTTCACCTCTTCAAAATTCCATTTTTTAAAAAAATTCTAAAGGACTCCAAAAATAGAAAACAGTTCTCTTGTTCTTGTATCAAATGAAGACCACTGCAAAGAAACAGCCAAGAAAAGCTGTCACATAAAGGAAAACAGAAGAATAATTCAAGTTAGGAACTTGGATGCAAGTTGAACTATCCTGATGGCATTTGTAGCACTTTCTCCTGCTCAGAAAAATACTTTGATATAAGAAATAACTTCTATTTATGTGAAAATGTAAAGGAGATGCTAAAGTAGTGCACAAAATGATCAAGACAGAAGTTTGGAGCTGAATCTAATATTCTCAGCACACCCACTGGTCATTTGGGGTTCGATCCCAGTATCTGGGATCAAAAGCATTTTATAAAATACACTTAGTGTTATTTTTCATTTCTCAGTCATTCAAAGATTTGATTCTAAATAAAATCAGGTTACCACTGTCTGCCATGCAAGTTTTTAAGTATGTTAGGTATTTTATAGTATTCACCAAGAAAGTGAGCATTTTGGATGCTTGTCCTATGGCTAAGAATTCTGAATACCCAACTTTCCTTACTATCAAAAATTACATGTCCAGTAGTTCAACATCACAAAAAATGGCATATAACTGCTTTTGATATCATTTTAAAATGCTATAAAGTTATGTGAGCTTGGTTAAAAACGATATGATCAAAAGGGCTTCCCAGGTGGTGCTAGTGGTAAAGAATCCACCAGCAATGCAGGAGATACAAGAGATGCAGGTTTGATCTCTGAGTCAGGAAGATCCCCTGGAGGAGGAAACGGTGACCCACTGCAGTATTCTTGCCTGGAAAATCCCATGGACGGAGGAGACTGGTGGGCTACAGTCCATGGGGTTTCAGAGTCGGACACGACTGAAGCAACCGAACACATCCTATCAAAAGCAAAAAATCACTTCCCAGAACACTAACTGCAGCACCAACTCAAATATTTCTCACATATTCATGATTCTCCAAGGAGAAAGCTTTCATAGAAGTTTCATCTCAATTCACTAGGAAACCCACCAACTCCACCTTGCCGACACACCCAGAGCCTGGCCACTCCCCAGCTCTCCCCTGCACCACCTCGGCCTGAGCCGCCTCCGTCGGCCTCCGGGATCGCTGCAACAGCCTCGTCACTCCCACGCTCGCCTTGCTCTGTTCCCTGCCTTGGTCCAGTCTCAACACACCGGCCACTGACATCCTTGGGAAACGCAAGTCAGGTAATGACACTCCTCTTCTCAAAACCCTGAGAAGCCCCTTGCGGAGCCTTCAGCAGAGTCTCCAGGCGGCCAGGTGATCTGGCCCTCTGTCCCCCCTCCTCCCTGCGTCTCCTCCTCCTCTTGGTTACTCTACACCAGCATCCTGTAAAAACACAAACGCGTCAGGGCAGCTCTGGCCGCGGGGCCTTCGCCATGACTGCCCAGTCAGGATCTTCCTTATGTTCCAATTGGCAAATTTCTCCATCTGTTTAAGTGTATCTCCTTGATGAGGCCTGAAACTCAATACTTTAAAACTACTCAACACACTACCCTCCTCTACCAGTACTCCTAATCTCTCTCCTTCTGCCCTTTTATACTTCTTCCACCTGATGACATACTATATACTGTATGTGTGTGCGCTCAGTAGCTCAGCTGTGTCTGGCTCTTTGCGATTCCACGGACCAACCCAGGGATGGAACCCAGGTCTCCGTCATTGCAGGTGAATTCTTTACCATCTGAGCCACGGGGAAGCCCACATACTGTATAGCTTACATATTATCTCTATTGTTTACACGTTTCCCTCAAGTAAACTGTCAGCTTCATTCAGAGCAGGGACCTTTGCTTTTCATCGATATCCACACAGCCACTCAGACAATGCCTAAAACACACTAATCATTAAACAAACAACTGCAAGATATTCAACAAAATAATAAGCGAGGGTGCCAAATTCTCCAAAGGACAGCGTTTTCCTGGTGTTACGTTCTCCTTAATTCACACCAGCATAAGTCTAAAGTGTTATGAAACAAAAGCAACAGTGAGCGGAGACCAGTACCGACTGGGGTGATAAGACCGTCTGCAAGCGGAGACACTGAACACTCAGTATACCGAACACTCAGAAGTGCACTGAGCTCAACCAGAATTTTATGGGTGGGAGCTATTTTCAAAAATCATGATGCTATTGTCAGTCTAAAAATGTGTAATTTAGTGATTTTAGAAAGCTCTCAAAACTGCTTAAAATGCATTATGCTAGATAAGAGAGAGAGAAGAAAACGATAGCTGCTTCTTTGGACTTCAAAACAGGTTTCTGCCTATTTTACCTGTGACTTCTTTGTTTATCATAAATACACAGAATTGAAGAAAGACCATCAATTTGGTGGATACTGCTTATTTAAAGCTTACAAACACAGAAAGTGCAAATAAAGGAGAACCTGCTATATGTGGAAAAAGAAATAATGACCAAATTAAATAACAAGGAATTAACTCTTCTCAAAAATTTTATTGTAAAAATTTTCAAACACATACATTATAGTGAATAGTATAGCGAATCCAAACGGATCATCACCCTATTTCATCAATGATTAATACATTGCTAATCTTCATTTTCACTCCCATTGAGACTATTTTGAAACAAATCTCAGATAACACATAACTTCAAATATAAATATTTTAACGTCTCTGAAAAAGCAACTTAAAAAAAAATACATAACCACAACATAACAAATTGACACCTTGAAAATTTTAACAATAAATCCTTAGAATCAAAAGTTTATTCAAATGATGTTCACATTTCCCTGATTTTTTCCCTAAAAGTTGTGCTATTATTGTTATCTTGCCTCATAAACTATTTTATTTGAGGGGAAACACAACTAATCTATCCATACTTTCTGATTAGTTGATAGGTCCTCCTATGTTTCTTCTAATCTATAAGTTTTTAAATATTCTTTTCACATTTATACAAAAGTACTAAAATCTGAATGAATTTATGAAATACAATAAGTTTAATTGCATTTTCAAATAAACAATGTACCAAAAACTAAATTCACATCTCAAAAAATCGGAGGGTCTAATGAGCACTTTAGGTTAATTCGTATTAAACATAAGGCAACAATGTTTTCCAAGCTTTCCCTTTTTCACCAAAAGAAACAAAATTTCCCAAAATTATAACTTGGACTTCCCCCGTGGTACAATGGATAAGAATCTGCCCGCCAATTCAGGGGACACAGTTTCAACCCTTGATCCAGGAAGATTCCACATGCCAAGCAGCAACTCAACTGCGCACCAGGACTCCTGAGCCCACAGGCCGCAGCTGCTGAAGGCCGGACCCCAGGGCCCGTGCTCCGCAGTGAGAGGCCACCGCGACGAGGAGCCCACGCGCGGCAACTGGAGGGCAGACTCCCCTGCCACAGCTAGAGAAAAGCCACGCGCCGCGCCGAAGACCCCGCACAGCCAAAGTAAATACATAAGTGACATGAACCATGCAGTGAAAAAAGAAAACGCTAAGTCAAACAAAACTGTTAAAGTTTATGCTTATAAAAAATTATAACTTATTCTATAATAGGTTAGGAGTTAGCAATTTTTTTCAGCTAGAGGGCCAGACAGCAAATAATTTAGGCTTTGTACCCAGATGTTTCAGATGCAACAGCTCCTTTGCAGAGCGCAAGCAGCCACAGACAATATGTACACAAGGGGGTGTGGCTGTGTTCCAAAAACTGTTATTGACAAAAACAGGCGGCAGACTAGATTTGTCCCATAGGCTGTAGTTTGACAACCTTTGTTCTAGATGGTAAGGCCTATCAAAGTTATACCACATCATCATGGAGGAGAAAAGAGTGAAAATATACTTTTATAAATA